CCATAACGATTTAAAGAAATCTACCGCTTTAAATCTGAACTAATTACAAAATTGTAGTTAATAAATGGGTCTTTTTTTTCCTTGACTTTAAAAAAATCAATTTTATTGCTGTATAATTTCTGCATACAAGTTATTGTGTGGAAGGTTGTTTTTATTTCTCTTGGGTAAATAAGTAGAAGGGAAATTTCTGGATCATATGATAAGTGTATGCTTAACTTCCTAAGAATCTGCCAAACTATTCTGCAATGTGGCTGTATCATGTTACAATCTCATCAGTGATACATGAGCACTCCAGTGGCGGCACATCCTCCCCAACTCTTGGTTTCGCCAATCTTTTTACTTTTAGCCATTGTTTTAGTGGCTGTTCCTCTTGAGTTTCAACAAAGGTAATAATTTTATAACATAACTACATATTTTAAATATGTATATCATAATTATGGTCGTTTTCTTTTAAATTGTGGGTCACAGTTCACAATAGGTTGAGATCAGCATTTTAAAGAAAAGGGAAGAGAAAAAAAAAGTTGGAGAGTATCCCATATAATAAGGTATGCATTTATAATGGGGCAATATTTCTTTCAAGGATATGAAACTTGGATATTTGGGGGTGAAAATCCTAGATGTTACAATTATTTTTGCCTCTCTAAAGCTCAACCCTATCTGAAAAATCTTAATTCTTAGTATTTAATTTCTTTCAGGTTTTTGGATATCACATGAGCAGCATGAACATTGAATTCCTGGAAGATACAAAAAATGTATGCAAGAGCAGGGTTACAAAATTATGGAAAATAAATGGCCATGACTGGGGGACTTCCTCTTAATCTACTGCTCGATCTCAAAGTCATACAGCAAGAGGTACTGGAGCGTGCCTACCGGCTGCCATTGGCTGCCCAGCGGGTATTGTTCGTGTTTGAGTCCCTTGTGGTTTTGTGAGTGACTTGAGCTTTGAGAAATAAATAAAGTCTATGTTTTACTATTTAATTCTACAAAAGGTATTCAAACCATCATTAATTACTCCGAGTACTGAAAGAAAAACAACACTGACCATCTAAATAAATACAACAGCCACATAAGTTAAAGTTGTTTTCACATATCAAGCAAAAGTGTAAAGTTTTCCAAAAAATATTTTTAAGAAAGTATTTTTAATTGTTTTACTTTTGATGGAAAAATAATAGTTTTGAATGTTTTAAATTCTTATTATATTTGTGTTATTATTACATATTTATATCAATTGCTACTTTGCATATACAATTTCATATATTATCATTTACCTAAGTAAACAGATTACATTATTACTCAGCAAATGCAGTTATGTCAGCTTTTAGTAGTTTTTTAAATTTTAATTTAACTTAAAACTTTTAATCACTTTAACCATGTATTGAATAAAAAATATAAGCTTTATACTTACTCTTACTACGTATAAAGCACAGATAAACATACAATACATAAGAGAGATACACAGTATATCTGTGGTATTAAAATTGCATGGGGGCAATTAAGAAAAAAATCTTTAAAAGGCTCCTTGTTGTTGCTGTTAACTGCCATTGAGTCGGCCCCTAACTCATATAACTGCGATGGAGTCAGCCCCCAACTCATGGCAACCCCATGCACAATGGGATCAGACTACTGTGATCCATAAGGTTTTCATTGGTGATTTTTGTACGTAAATCGTCAGGCTTTTTTTTCTAGTCTGTCTTAGTCTGGAAGCTCCTTTGAAACCTGTTCAGCATCATGGCAACATGCAAGCCTCCAGTGACAGGGGGGTGGCTTCACAGGAGGTTCACTGGCCGGAGGGTGGGGGGTGGAAATAATGAAAAAAAGGTTGAGCAGTAGTGTAATAGGGCAAGTATTTTTAAATGATGCTTTGTTTTAGTTTTATGGTTATACAGTTTATATGTATATACCTGTTGCCGTTGAGTCAATTTTGACTCATAGTGACCCTGTAGGACAGAGCAGAACTGCCCCATTGGTTTTCCAATGCTATAAACCTTCACAGAAGCAGACTGCCACATCTTTCTCCCAGGGAGCAGCTGCAGCTGCTGAGTTCAAACTTCTGACTTTCTGGTTAGCAGCCGAGTGCTTAACCACTGCGCCACCAGAGCTCCTTATATACAAATATATATAGTTTAAAACTATATAGCTATAAAAAAGAAAAACCAAACCTGTTGCTGTTGAGTCAATTCTGACTCATAACAACCCTACAGGACAAGGTAGAACTGCCCCACAGGGTTTCCAAGGAGCCAACTGGTGGATTCAAACTGCTGACCTCTTGATTGGCAGCCAAAAGCTTAACCACTGTGCCACCAGGGCCCCTTAGCGCTATATTATATATATATATATATATAAAAACATATACCTACAGGTATCAAACATATATGTGTACTGATTTGAAATATAATATGCATTTTTTATTTTGTTTAGTGGTAAAGAGAAAACGTTGAAAAACACAAGGTCAAGAAGTAGAATTAGACGCAGATCTTAATGCTAACAATAATAAAATCTGCCCTTTCCCGACCAGCTCTTAGATGCCAGACACTGCTAAGCGGGGCACACGCATTCAGCATTTGCTCTGATCCTCTTTATGTCTTTACATTTTGTATATAAGCAAACTGAGGTTCAAGAGAGCCAGGAAACAGGTGCCCAGTCTTAAAAAAAAACTCCTTAGTGGTAGACCTGAGATCTTGATAACTCTAAGCTCCAGGCTCTTTTTCCTATAACTTTTTGTCGCCTCTCGTCCCAAACAGCGTTTAGCATAGTATTTATATGAATAAACGATGATACACAGAACCACATGTTAAGTGTGATGAAATATACGCAAATAAATGATTTTACTTAACAAGCATTTGTTGATCAGTATAGTACAGTGATTAGCTCATAGCTTTGAAGTTTTGTGAGGGTTAAATGAGATAATATATGTAAAGGGCCAAAAGCATAATAAAGACTCGATTATTTATAAGTGTTATTAGCTGGACATTATGGAGAATATAAACCTCCCTGAAATACTCTCAGAATCTAGTTTCACCTAAAACATTTACAGACTCCTATAAAGCCATGCCGTGAAGAAGTAAATCCAGGGATAGTTATGGGTACTCAGAAAGCAAAGGTGGCGTGGTATTTGGACTAGACAAACGGAGGAGAAAGACCTTTACCTGAACCCTGAGAAATAAAGGGGGCTTTTGAAAGGCAGAAAAGAAAGGGAACTTATTTCAAGCCAGGGCCAGAATAGAAACAAGATACAAAGCAGGAAACCGAGCTTGGTGTTGAGGGAATCAGACTCTGTGAAACACTGCCTTGGTGAATACTGGGAAACAAAATGAGAAAGGAAGGCTGATTGCCAGAGTAGGGAGGTGCGGAATCTGTGTTCAAATCTTGAGCAGCTCAAAGCCCTGACGGTGTCTGATCAGATGAATGAAATGATGCCTTTTTAATTTTCCTTGTGACAATGTACAGAAATGAAAGACTAGAGACTCTAAAACTAGTATTGACATCACTACAGTAAATCAGATATAGATGCAGAATGAGGACGACACGGATGGCAGTGACAAAGCCTAGTCTGGAACAGATACTCTCCACCCCCCAAATCATCAAGAGTATTTAGATGGGATATAACAAGAAGGAGGGAGCAATGACAACTGCGTGATTTTAAGGCCTCTAAGAGTATGAGAGAATACTTCCATGAATAATGTACAGATACAGGAATTAAAAAAATCTGTTTTTGTAGCCATTGTATCGAATTACAAACAGCAACAATAAGATAGCTTTAGATATTAGAAGTAAGAATACGGTCAGATCTTGAAGGGGACTTTTGGGAATCACTAGCACGAGGATAATGGCTGAAGCTCTGAGAATGGATTAGTTGCCAAGGGAGACAGAGCTGAGAAAGGAGCGAAGAACTCCAGTTGTCTCTGCTGCTATTGGAATGAATTTATTTACAGATTCCTGTAAGGTCTTTTCTTTGTCTCTCACATAAGGCTATCCACAAGTTTCTCCTCAAGTGTCCCTGGTTGTACAGGGCCTCCTGTTTGCCAACTAAGGTTCACAAAGACATTCCATGGAGAAGACTTCATATTACATTTATGTCCTTGAAAATGCAAGGCTTTCCTTACAACTTCTGTGTTGTATGTGTTTTACTCATCAATTTAATTTTACATTTATTACAAATGAGGGATTTATGTAAGTTTTACTCATAGGCACATAACATATGCTTGATATCCTAAGGAACACACTGGCATCCTCATTTTGGGGCAGAAAGGCAGGAAGCCCCTAGATCTCAGATGGCAATGAATACTGATTCATTATAAACTATTCACAGCGTCAGGAGGTGCTGATCTATCCAGTCCTTCCATATGCCGGTTTATCGAACTTAAAAAAGTGATGGGAAGGAGATTTGAATAACAAATGTTATTTTGAATGTTAATTTAAAATAATATTAGAAGAAAACTCTTTCAAGTAATTAATCATTATTTGCATATTCAATCCTTGTTGAAATCAGAAATATGTATATATGTGTGTATATATATATACACACGTACATACAAATATGTGTATACGTAATTAATTGAAATTGAAGAAAGGAAACTGAATGTTTATAGATGTGAAACAATTTATTTCTATTTACTTTTGGTTTTGAACCAAAATTTTATCAGGGCTTAATTTTTTTCTATCATTAGTTTTAGTATTTATGAGTAAGCTTACCTGATTTTGCGACTGTTACATCAGTTAGGCCATATTACTGATAGTATGAACACTGATGGCATGTGTGTTATTCCATAGAAATAATTCCTTTATATTGTGAACTACTTTGTCTATAAAAAGGGATTCCCTATTTTGGTTTAATTATTTTTCATGGTACACAATTAAATTTTGTCTTCATTATGCCTAATATAGTGCAAAGTATATTATGGCAAATTTCACAAAATTTCTTTTAATAAATGTTGTGTCTGCTTGAAAATAATTTTATATTAGTATAGGATGCAGAAAAAATAGATTTAATTCATACTCACTGTGGTAATGTTGCTGGCAGGGAACGTCTAATAATTGAATGAACTTGTCTGTAAACATCCAGTTTAGACATGCATCGGCAGGAAGTGTGATTGGCAAAACTGATTGTTACTGGTTTGGGGCCTTGAGAGAGAGGCACTGTAATTTCAAACAACTACAAAGAAGGGATAAAAAGAAGAAAAAATTATATAGATGCTATAAAGCATTTTTATGTTAAATGTTGGAGTCCAAAAAAAGTGAGATTAACTGTTTATGACTAGGTGGTGCTGCATAAAATACACAGGACACTACCGATTTTTACGACTACAACATTTAAACTATTTTGCTTCTAATCAGCGTTTCTTATCAGAGTAATAAATAGTTCATATGCTTATCTCATGTCACTAGTTATAAAGCATATTAAAATTATGATAACAACTCATGATTACAAAGCACAGATGTAACAGACCTATGTGTTCAAGAAAAAAAAAAAGTTGCTTCAGAGTTCTATTATTTGACATAAGCATTTAAAATTTAAAAGCATTTGAGCTATGTTAGCTAATATTCCAGGGGTTAAAAAGTGGCACAGATAATAAAGATCTCTGTTATGTAAGAGCAAAGCTATTGGCCACACAATCCAGAAAGGTTTAAGTCTTATTTTATGTAAATTGACCACACAATGTCCAAATTAAATTTCTAGCTCAAATTTGTTTTACAGTTATCTCATATCACTTTTGGATTTATTAAATTTAAGAGAAAAATAAATAGAATCGTTATTAAATAGGTAAAGCTTTGTTTCTGCTATCTTGACAAAGGCATTATGAAAATAATGAACTTAGAATAAGGTAGGGTACTTTACATGATTCTAGATATAGTCTTAAAATTTAGTTTAAGTAAAGTCTCATTTTGAATGATTTATTTAAGGAGAACTTAAGTCCTCTTCCTTCTCCAAAAACAACGTTTTAAATTGAAGATAAAAGTAAGTTAGTGATTATATAAAATTAAATGAATTTAAATTCCTGGGGTCCTTAAAATCTAAATTACCACTAGCGAAAATAGTATGAGTGGAATCATGGCCATTACCTGCTTGAAAAGATTAGTTTTTAGTAATTTAACTCTAATTTAACCATATGGTATTTTATTCCTTTATGGGAATCTGGACAATGCTATAAAAAGATCACATACTCCAGAGCCTTGTGACCCAGTACCTTGCTGTGATTTCATGCCAACAGTTAAAGATCATTGAAAGTGTTTAGGGAATATAATTAGTTTGCCAATTTCATCCACACCCACAGGGCAAATTTTAAAATTGATTTTGAACAATGGAACACAGAAACGCCTAAATTCTAAATTGCATTCTTTCTTCATTTGGAATGTATTCATAATACATTTATTTTAAAAACTCAGCTACTTTCTTAGCAAAAAATAATGTGATTCAGAAGAAATGATCACAAGATTACACCCAGATTGGTACTTTCATTAGTTCCCTTACTTATAAGTTGTGTGACTTTGAAAACATCATTTAACTTCTCCAAGCTGTATTTTTCTTTAATGATCAGTAAATTAGGGATAATGTTTGAAACATTACTACGTGAGATTATTGTAAAAGATTATATAAACGAATGTATCTGAATACAATATGTAGATTATATGCTGTATAGTTGTTTTATTATTATTTTTCTTTGCATAAATTGTCAAGAATAATGTGTTCTTCAGGATAATATCTTTGTACCTAGAAAAATTCAACATATGACCCCAACATATGCTAGTATGATATTTCACCAGTTTCTTGTCTAAAAAGACATTTGCTTATGCAGTTTGATGTGACCTTTTATTAGATCACAATGGGCAGAAATCCTTTGCACTATATACAACTATTTTCAGATATTATTCTGCAGTGTGTGCATTGTTACAGTTTTTCTGTTTCCTATTACATCTATGGGCCCTACCTTAAAAACAAGTGTTACACAAGAAATACAAAGTGGTTTTCAACATACGCAATTTACAAATTGCTTATTTAAAATCTATAGTAGTGTAAATGGTAGGAAGGCCTACAGGTCAGCTCACAAAAGCCCAAGAATTCACATCTAATTGGTAGTTAGATATATGTGTCTGGATGATAGGAGAGTCATTGAAAAGTCATCAACATTTAAGTTTAGCTGAAGTCTTGGACACTGATGAGACTGCTTGGTGAGTCCATACTGAGTGAGAAGAGAAAATATCTAATAATAGAAACCTAGGGGACGGGAACATTTAAGAGGTGAGAAGAGGCAAATGAACTAGTAAATATGTCTGGGAAGAAATCTAACATGAAGATGCAAAACCAGGAGGGAGTACTCTATAGCCTAGCAAGCCAGAAGAAAGAGGAGAGCTTCAAAAAGGTGTGTGGTTGCAGGGTCAAATGTCTCGGGGAAGTCAAATACAATAAGGATTGATGGGAGAAGACTGGTACCAGATGTGGTTCTGAGACCTGTGCAGGACAGGAGCTATAAAAGAAGAGCAGCCAGTGGGAAAGGAGGGACAAGAGTAGAGTCCCCTTGTGACTGGAGGGAAAAGAGTTCAGGTGGCTCAGGCCACCAGGATCATTTCTGCTTTCGGAATGCTTGTAATCAGTGAAGGATTTGGCATGTCTCAAGTGACACAAGGCAGGACAGAGCCTGATAGTGAAGGATAAGGCACTGTCTGAGATAATGGTATTGTAGAAGAGTTCATGATTTTTCCTGGCCCTAACCCCTGTCAGCATCATCCCTGCCCTCAGTGATTCCTGTCACTCCAGAATCCACTCTGGCCTGTTTTCAGAGGGGGAAAAGATTATGAGGAGCAGTATCAGCCAGCTGTCATGAACAGACATCAGCCATTCTTGAGTGGGTATGTCCCCAGTCAGTATCTGCCCGCAGGTATCAAGTGTGTCTTCAGGAACTGGGGCTTTGCAGAATGTTCTAGTGAAACGGACAACAGTTAAATGCAGATTAAGAAAGCATCTTCCTGGAGAAATAACCTGGGCTCTTGACTTTCAAAGGGTGGAAGAGATTTGTGTTGGTGAATATACTGACTACGAGGACAAAGAGTGGAAAAAGAGGCACTAAAAACAAATCACTGTTCAGAAAACTGTTTTTTTTTTCCCTTGTAAATTGGAGACTTATACAAGCATTAAAGCTACAGTACAGACTAAGAGACAAAATTTACTTGGTGTTGTCAAGTTAAATAAAGGAAGACAAAATCTTAATTACTAAGGTCTCTTTTGTCTTGTTTGTGTCTAAGTAGGCAATTATCAGGCTGAATTCAGTTACATTCTCTTGAAACACATCTCCCACCCCTATACCCTCTCAGTTTTTGACCTGAGTTATTCAGGCAATCTTTACTTGACTATATCAATGTGGAAAAATTTTTAAGAGTCTAGAAGATGACTTTGACCAATGCATTTATCCTCAGAAAAATTAGGAGCATCTACTGAGAATGTGTCACATGTGTGTGTATTAAGGCACACTTGTACCTAGGCTAGCTTTTGTCCTACACTGAAGATGCTTTCATTTTCCAATCTGTTTCTGCACTGGTTTTATGCATGCATATTAACTGACTTTTCCATTTAAAATGACTAAAGTTACTATTATAATTTTTTCTTTTCCAAAGCAGTGAATTCTGGTTTCTTATTTATAGAACAATTTGTGAATTTTGTGTAGCTATATCTGCTCTTTGGAGCGCTGGTGGCGAAGTGGTTAAGAGCTCAGGCTGGTAACCAAAACGTTGGCAGTTCACATCCACCAGCTGATCCTTGGAAACCCTATGATGCAGACCTACTCTGTCCTACAGGGTCACTATGAGTTGGAATTGACTAGAAGTCACACAACAACAACAACAACGTATTTGCTGTTTATGTTGCTGAGCAAATGCATGGCCTTTTTTCCTAATCAGAAAGTATCTATTTAGAAAATGTAAACTTTTTTTGAACTAAAAAAAAATTAGAAAGACATTATAAACTCACCTGTTCCCTCTTCCCATTCCCCCCCAAAAAGACAGAACTGGAACCAGCCAGTTGATTCTGACTCATGGTGACCCCATGTGTATCAGAATGTAACTGTGCTCCATAGGGTTAATCAATTGCTGATTTTTCCTGGAAATTGACTGCCAGACCTCACTTTTGAGAAGTCTCTCTGTGGATTCGAACCACCACCATTTTGGTTAGCAGCCAAGCACGTTTATTCTTTGCACTGCCAGGGACTAATAAATACATACACGTTTCAAATAACTGGAAACGCTCCTTCTCCGCTAGAGATGAGAACTACCAAGAGCTCAGTCTTAAGAAACAGTCATGAGTTGGTCCCTGGATGGCCAATTTACTACTTCTGTAACGTGAAAAAGTATTTAACATCTCCAAGCCTCTGTTCATTATCTATAAAATAGAGATAATAATCGTGGCCATGGTATTGTTTGGATTCCATAAGCCATAGGAGATTCTCAAAAATATCTTCATTATCATCATCACCAACATCAGTTAAGACTGAGTCGAACCTTTGTTAAAGGAATTCCAAAGTTTTTTAAATCTCTGTTTAAAAGCTTTCCTCATTTACTTTACAATAACTATTTACTGAGTATCTGTAAGATGCCAAGCACTATGTTAGAATTTCAAGTTAAGTCATTAATAACGACTCTTGCCCCTATGCAGCACACAATTAACAAAGCTAACAATAACAGTGAATGCGAAAAACACAGATATGTAGATTATACTATATTAACATTTTTAAAAAAAACAATAGTTTACCATAATCAATATTAGTGAGCAAGAACCCTCAGTTTAATTCTCTTGAAATCCGTGCTTGCCATTTTACAGTGATCTGAACCACCACAGAAACTGTAGTTTTCTCTCAAAACAGTTAAGGTTTCTCCAAACACATCAGTGTTTGAAGCAATAATTCGAATTTTTTATATTTTAATAATATATGAATCCTTACATTAACGTTGGACTATTTTGTGCTAAGCAGTGTTTTCTAGTTTAGATTTGAGTTCCTCGAGTCCAAACATTATCCATTATGTTCTGCATTAGCTAATAATTCCATGTATATGTGTTTAATTAGTAGATACTAAATGACGATGACAATTATAATTTGGTATTTTGAACATGATTTTCCTAAAATGGATCTTATGCTGTAAAATGAACTGTTCTTGAACAACAGACAA